TCACCATGCACTCGTTTCATCCCACCATGCACTCCTCTCATCTCAGCATGCATCAATTCATCTCAACATCTCACTCATCTCATCTCACCGTGCAAGCGTTTCATCTCACCATGCACGCGTTTCATCTCACCATGCACGCGTTTCAACTCACCATGCACTCCATCTCGCCCACTGAGAAGAGCCCATCCTTGGTCAGCTCTGCAATACACCATGAAATGATGGGGCAGAATGAGGTGGGATGGGGTGGGATGGGGTACAATGGGGTTGCTTGCACTGAGAAGAGCCCATCCTTGGTCAGCTCTGCAATGAAGTACATGGGTTTGAATGGGTCGGGCAGAAAGGGGTTCCAATGTAGTAGAGTGGGGCGGAATGGGTTACAATGGAGTACAATGGGGTAATAAACGGGATAGACAGGGCAGCACCGGGCGGAAGGAACGAATGCGCATGGATCGGAAATGCGAAAATTGGAAATTCGAGTATTGGAAATGAAAGAATGGGAGGACAGAGGATAAGAAAGGAGGTGGGTAAAAAGCCGATGGGAGAAGGATTGTGCCAACAGAGGGGGTAAGCAAAAGCAGGGGTGAGAAAAGAAGGGTTGGGAAAAGAAGCATCGAGAGAGGAACAAAAAAAAAGCGAGTACGAAAAGTTCCCACCATTCCTCTCGACGCCCAGGTGCTTGAGCAGAGCAGCCTCGATGTCCCTCGATCCCCGCAGCATGCATGGCGTGGTGCCGCACACGAGCAGATGGTACTTTCCCACCTGCATGCATGGCATGTGTGAGAGTGATTGAGATGCACGAGGACAAACATTCTTATAGCACATTCAACATGTGTGATATTGGAGTAAAACAGCATTGTTTTGGCGCCCTCTAGCATCCAGCATGCAGCATGCATGGCATGCTGCCGCACACGAGCAGATGGTACTTTCCCACCTGCATGCATGGCATCGCGTGCAATTGACAATGAGAATGCACGAGGAGGAACACTCTTATGGCACGGTAAACATCCAGCATGTGTGTGATTCTTGAGAGCAAAGCAGCCTCAGACGTCCCTGGCACCCCGCAGCATGCATGGCGTGGTGCCGCACACGAGCAGATGGTACTTTTTCACCTGCATGGCATGGTGTAGCATGGCATAATGGCATGGTGTAGCATGGCATAATGGCATGGTGTAGCATGGCATAATGGCATGTTGTGGTGTGGCACGACGAACAAAGAGAAGCGATTTCAAGGCGAATGCATGCAGCATGCATGGCATGTTGCCACACACGAGCAGATGGTACTTTCCCACCTGCATGGCATGCATGGTGTGGCATGTGTGTGTGAGCGAATGACACGCATTACGGGAGAAACTTCATGGTGAATGCATGCCGCATGCATGGAGTGGTGCTGCATTCAAGCAGATGGTACGTGCTCACCTGCATGCATGCATGGTGTGCCATGGGTGTGTGAGAGAGAATATTATTGCATGGTGTGCTGTGTGTGTGAGAGAACATATTATTGCATGGTGTGCCATGTGTGATTGCATGGCGTGCCGTGTGTGTGTGAGTGATTGACATGCACAAGGAGAAACATTTTTATAAGCATAGAGGCACAGAAGCACGCACCGGTTGTCTGTTGAACATGGTGTAGAACATTGTACTCTTTATAAGCACAGCTGTACTAACCGGTTGTCTGTTGAACATGGTGTAGAAAGTCGCGACCTCATACACACGAATGTAAGGCATGCCCAATAGGTCCGCCACCTGGGAGGGTGGAGAGGATAAAGGGATGTGATGGGAGCGAATTTATGCAATGGGATGGAGAGAATGTGATTGGAGAAAGGGAACGTTGCGACCTCATACATGCGAATGTAGGGCATGCCCAATAGGTCCGCCACCTGACAGAGTGGAGAGAGTGAGGGGTGCGGTAAGAGGGAAGTCATGCGATGGGATGGAGAGAATGTGATTGGAGAAAGGGAACGTTGCGACCTCATACACGCGAATGTAGGGCATGCCCAAAAGATTTCGAGGATGGTGCACTGCATTGCATCCCTTCCCATCTTTTCCTTCCCTTCCCATGCTGCCCATCTTGCTCAAAACCCACTCACTCAAGCATCAGCAGAACACGTTACCACCAACACGTGCTGCGCACCTTGTTCATAGCGGCAACAGTGAGCCACCCGCCGTTCTGCTGCTGCACAATCTCGAGGATGGGGATGACGGCTGACTGGCGGTAGTTGGCGGGGTAGTGCGATATGATCTCATTCGCCTGGTAGGCGGGGAGGGATGGGAAGGGAAAAAGTAAGGATGAGCATGAGCGTGTGATGCTGCACTGCATGGTGTCGAGAATGGGGATGACGGCTGACTGGCGGTAGTTGGCGGGGTAGTGCGATATGATCTCGTTCGCCTGGCAGGGAGGGAGGGAGGGAGGGAGGGAGGGAGGGAGGGAGGGAGGGAGGGAGGGAGGGAGGGAGGGAGGGAGGGAGGGAGGGGGGAATGTAGTGGCTTTTCTTGCATGGTGACCCTTGAGTCAATTTAAAGGTCACCTAGATGGCTGGGTAGTGCGATATGATCTCGTTCGCCTAGCGTCGTTAAAGGAAGGAAGGTGGGAAAGGGGGGGTGGGGGTATGATGTGGATGCACATGTGCAATTAAACAAATGTGACACAAACGAGCGGATGAGCCACCACAGGTGAGTGAAAGATGCACGTGACGCTACTGAATGAGCCGTATTGTATTTTAGGCACCTCATAAATCTGTGGATGCACATGCGGATGTGGAAGTGTGACACAAACGACAGATGAACCACAGCTGAATCAAAGGGCGCGTTCAACACAGAAAGTGTCACCAAGGATGTATGTGATGTGACAGTGCATGTGGCACATCGCTCTTGAGTTCAGAGCTGTAATTGGTGGACTGGACAGTACCAAGCAAAGCAACCTTCTGCGGGGTGTGTGGAGGGTGAGTAGATGGAACATGGAGAGTTTGAGAGGGAGAGTGGAGCGTGTGGGAGGGTGCGTGGAGGGTGTGTGGAGAGTGTGTGGAAGGTGTGTGGAGGGGGCATCACCTTTTTCAGGGTGAGGGGGGAGAACTCGAAGGGCGTTTCGAGGTTGTTGTCTGGCGTGTCGCGATGCTGCATGGGGAGATGGGGGAAAGAGGGGGTGGGTAGAATGGGATGGCGAGGGGGAAGCGGAAGAAAACGGGGCAAGGTGGGAGACAAGGGGAGGAGAGAGGAAGTGGAGCAGTGGGAGAGGGAGAGGGAGGGTAATGAATAATTGTACATAGCAATTTCCTAATCATGCTGTTGAAAAGAACATGTTTAAGGCCATTACAGTGCTGAGAGGCTGTTGGAACACTGCCCCTGAAAATGCCTGGTGACAGAGTTGCAATGGCCTGCCATGCTTAGCACTTCAATTTTGAGTCGACTCGCAAGTACCGTCAGGGGCATCATAATACTGCGGAGGTGTTGCAATGGCCCTTCATGCTTTGACACTTCATGCTTTGTGCTTTACTGACAGTTCCAAGCTTCGTGCTTCATCCCTAAACCTTGATGCATGGTGCTTGATGCATAGCTGAGACGCTAAATGCTTTGTGGTTGAGATTCTACGACATGCTTGAAGAGCCATGCCTCGAGATCCATACTTTGTGCTTCATGCTTCATTCACGCTCACCGCAAATCAGTGAACCCGGTTACCAGGTAACGTCCACTCACGATGTTGAGAGCCGTGGAGAAGAGGCGAGAGGAGAGAGCTGCTCGGCCTGATACTGCTGCCAGGGGGGAGGCGGTTGGGACTGGCATGGGGGAGGCTCCTGCTGAGGGCAACGCGGCCGCCACGCCCTGACCACGGCGCTGCAGCACGCGGGGGAAGAGTGGAAGGAAAAGGTGGGGGCGAGGGAAAGAAAATACTGTGCATACTTGAATATTCCGAAAAGCGATAGTATGGACCAATGGCAACACAACTGGGTGCGATCGACCGTATCGCCATGACTTGCTGTTAAGAGCCGCCTGAAGATTCGTCTCGTGTCGCGGTCTGGAGGAGCCTCGGGAATCCATTCAGCGCATCTGGACAGTGTTCACGGCTCGTCCCGTAAGATCCTTCAAAGGCGGCGAAGTATGTGATCATTCGCGCGATCGCACCGGGTAGAAGTTACGCTCTACGTAACGAAGTAACCAGGTTCCGAGCTATCCATCATGCGGTTGCACCAGGAAGTTACATCCACGTGAAGACGTAGCCTGTAGTTACGTAAAATGTAACGTGATCGCAGCAGGTCAGATTCGTCGTGCGATCGTAGCAGGGTGCGGGATATCATTCACGCGATCGTACCAGATAGGTGGAGCAGCGGCTGGCGGCTGTCGCCAGGACCCGTGCGACGCGCGACGACTGCATGGCGACGGACGCGATGAACGGAGATGATCGGACGGACGAAAGTGATGCAGTGACAGTGACGAAATCGGTACTATCGAGGCGCCTCAAAAAGACGGCCTCCGAAAGTACGCGCAATGGACCGGTTCGGCGGATCTGAGGAGACGACGCGGAGGCGAAACGGGATTGGGTGATCAGATTCTGAGAAATGGCGGGCGGTTAACTCGAGATGGGAGGCGAGAGATGCGGAATGGCGATGATGGGTTTGGTTCGGTGCGAAGAGGAAACGGCGAAGACGCAGCAACGCGGAACCTAGGCCTCGTTTCGACTCCTCTTTATGGCTAAGTAGGAAACTAAGGGAACTCCAGCCCACTAAGCGCGGGAATCTCAAGGAGCCTAGGCGTAAGGGAGCTGGGGAGGTTGGAAGGGGGACGCCCCTGGCAAAGAGTTGGCTAACGAAGCGAATGATCTCGCGAAAAAACAACCGAAACGTTTTGGAAGAACTTCATTCGTGCCGTTAATATTGACGAATCAGGCGACACACAAGCAGTTACCAGTTCTCAATGATCTTCCCCCAACCCCTCCCACACACATCCCCCCGCATCCACAAAAGTTTCCGCCAAACCCCCTCCTCTTCCGCCCAAATCCCCCCTATGCGATGCTTGTCATATTTTATCTGCTGCCTCAACTCTCCTCCCGTGTTCTCCTTTTTCTTCCGACGTCTCCCGTTGGTGCTTCGATCGTAGCGTCATTTCACTGCCAACGCCCGTAGAGCCGGCAAGATCTAGGTAAGCGCTGTTGGGAGTTCAGGTGACCGTTTGCGAAAACTTGCAAAGTCTGCGAGGCCTACAAGAGGATTCGTGGAGTTGATAGTTGAAATCGATCTAGCGCTCGAGGCTGCGGAATTGGGTTACTCCGTTTGATCTAGCTCGCGAGTGCGTCGTTGAGGCAGGCAGGCGGTGGTAGAGGGAAGAGTAGCCTAAGATCACCTGCCGTTAGTCACTTCCATGTCACTTTAGTCACTAACCACTAGCCTCTGCTTCTGTTCCCACGGCCGCGTGCTAGAACTGGGAACATGAGTCGCGTAGAAGATTGCGATGCGAGGAAACAAGATAGATTTAGAGTGCAACGGGGGGGGCTTTCCCTGCTCGTCCTGATTGTCCTAGACTGCCTGAACGTGTCTGAATGTCAGGCATCTCTCCTTTGCGACATTCGCCACTACTCCCCGGTTCCTCTATCCCTATTTATAACCCTCCGTCTCTCTCCTTGTCGCCTTGAGTTTGGAGACGCCTCAAAACTCGCTCCGATCCTTCGATCCCCCCTCCTGTCCTGCTACTCTCCGTCTCTTCCTGTTTCCCTCGTCGCCGTGCCTGCATATCCTCTCTCTCCGCTACGCCACAAGTACTTTCCGCTCTTTCCGCTGCCCTCCTATTTCTGGCTTCGCTAGTGTGTCCCCTGTTCGTGTCTCTCTCCCCCTATTGTCTCCTCTCGGCCCGTTCCATTCGGACGTTTCTTTCTTTCCCTCCTTTCCCTCATCTCGTTTCTTATATCCTCCACTGTTTCCTCTCCTCTCTCCTCCCTCTCTCTTGATTTTTTGTCCCCTTCTCGTCTCGAATCCTTGAATCGTTTTTGTTCTCTTATTGACCTTGGGAGTGGAAATTCCAGCTTGGTCCCAAACACAAGCACACCTCTTTCCCTTCCGTCACTCTTCCACAGGTTACCAACCAAACCCTCACAAGCAGCTGCCAGCTTCCCTTCCTGTGTGGCGTGAGGCCACTCTCCTTCCAATCCGAGTCACATTGTGATTAGAAGCACCGTAATCGCAAAGTGCTTCACGCAGTGCGTTGTCGCCGCTACTTTACCCTTCTGTTGACCGTAAGTATCGCTCTGTATCCAGCCGGACACCATGTTTATGGGAGGGCCCCCGCGTCGTCCTGAGAAGGCTGCTGCGTTGAAGCAGCTCAGGCAGCACCTTGCTGTGCTGGGGGTGTGGGTGGTGGCGATCAGGCTCACGCCATATGTGCTTCATTTCCTCACCAAAGAGAAGGAGCAGCTTACCCTTGACTTGTAATCGGGTGTCTGACATCGTACAATATGATTAGATATGGTGCGATTTTTTTTTCTGGAATTGCTTAGTGATTCTGAAAGTAAAGTGGATGTAGTTGCTTTGAAATAATAATGTTAGTGATTGTTGAGTATTATTGCTCACTGTAGCAGGCGACAGTTAGGAAGTTGCCGAAGGACACGGGTGTCAGCTGGTTCGGCTTTCAAGCCGCTCCAAACCACTTCCGGACGTTTCCGCAGCTTTCGTGAACCTCCCGAGCCACATCTGGTCCGAGGTTTACGCCTAGTTCGTTGTGGGTACAGTAGATGCGGAAGGGCTCGGGTGTCAGCTCGTTTGCCGCTCAAGCCGCTCCAAACCACTTCCGAGCCACCTCCGCACCTGTCGAGAACCTCTTGAGCCACTTCTAGCCCGAGGTTTTCGCCTAGTTCGTTTCCGCCTATTTTAACCTCGTTATTCTGTCATTCAGTAGTCCTCCCGCTGTAGAATCTGTATCTTCCCACTTGAAGGTGTTTCAGTTCGCCTGTGAAACCCGCACCATGGTCGCACCAAAGCTTTGCACCCCAGTTCACCGAGCAAAACACTCAAAGCTCAACGGTCATAAAATTGTCCCTTCTTGGTTTCAGCAGGAAATGCTCCGTTGGTGTGCATTCCAACCTCATTCACTGCTCGTTTCATCGTCGCATGTTCCTCGTTACTAGTTAGCAGTTTCTCGGTTTCGCGCCGCGCGTGTAGAATTTTAGAGCCAAACGGAAGAAAACGGGCTTTTAAAGAGCGGTGACTGGATCCGAAGTGCTGTGTCCGGAGCCCAAAATTGTTGTCTGAACAGGGAATTCTCGTTGTGAACGCCAGGCGGAGAAGACTAAGAGCGAGGTGGCTAGTAACGAAGAATTATATCTGTTATTCGTTATCTACTATCCGGAATAGAGATCACGAGGTGGTGCAAGAGAAGAGACGTTGAAGAAAGAGAGAGCAGACGTTAGGACTCTAAAACTCTTTAAAATCGGACACAGGTAGTGGTAAGGGAACGGCAATGGACAGGGGGAGGGAAAGGGAGAGGGACAGGGAGCAGAGGGAGCGGCAGCGGGAACGAGAGAGGGAGCAGAGGGAGCGACAGAGAGCGATGGATAAGGACAGAGATAGGAGCAAAGAGAGAGTGCGAGAGCGGGAAAAGGGGTGGGAAGGAAGAAACGAGGCGAACGGGGAGAAAGCGCGTGGGATGCGCGAAGAGGGGAGGGGAGAGCGGGAGAGGCGGGAGTTGGAATTTAGGAGGAGCGGAGAGGGGAGGGGGGAGGGAGAGAGGCGGGAGTTGGAATTTAGGAGGAGCGGAGAGGGGAAGGGAGAGCGGGAGCGGGAGGTAGATCGGGAGAGGCGAGTGAAGGAGGAGGGGAGGGAGAGAATTAGGGAAGGAGAGCGAGGAATTGAACGAGACAGAAAGGGGGACAGGGATCGTGATGGGGATAGAGATAAGGATAGGGTTGGAGTTAGGGATAGGGATGGAGGCAGGGATAGGAATAGGGACGACCGAGATAGAAGAACAGAGAAAGGCTTTGAGGAGAGAGAGGGAGGTTGGGATGACCGGCGAGACGAAAGGGACAGGAAAACACGCGGTGGCGGTATGGATGTTCGGGGAAACAAGGACAGGGAGATTCAAAGCGGTGACAGGGACATTCGAAGCGGTGACACAGATAGGGGTTTCCGTGCTGAAGGGAAGGACAGAGGTTTTCGAGATAAGGAGCTTGTAGAGACGAGTAGAAGTGATAAGGATAGGGATTTGCCTAGAAGCGGGTCTAGAGGAGCGGTCAGGGATAGGCTGGAGAGGTGGAGGGAGAGAGTGAGGGACGACGAGGGAAAAGGGGGCGGGGGAAGAGAGAGAGTAAGGGAGGACGAGGGGAGGGGGGGCAGGGGTAGGGAGAGAGAAGGGGACGACGAGGGGAGGGGGAGCAAGGGAAGAGAGAGAGGGTCGAGCTTCTCCGAGGAAGGTTCTGAGGAAGGATCCATGGACCGAAAGCGAAGGGCGGAGCAGAGGAGGGAGGAGAGGCAGGAGGGGAGGAAGGATGGGGGGAAGGATGGCGGGAAGGAGGAGAGGGAGGAGAGGGAGGAGAAAAGGGTGGAATATTCGAGCGACGAGGGAAGAGGGAAGAGAAAGGAGGAGCGGAGGAAGGCGAGGGGTGGCATGGATAGAGAGCTTTCAGACAATTTCCCTGCCGCAGCTGCAGCTGCAGCGTCTCCTGCTGAGGAAGGAGATTCTGAAGATGATTCTTATGGCCCTGCTGAGAAAGGAGATCCGGATAGGAGTCCCAAGCGACCCAGAACAGGCAGCAAGGCGAACGGCTCACAGAAACGCGGGGGAAGCGCGAGGGAAAACAGCCCTGCTAGGGGCAAATCGGCTGCTACAACTGAATCCAAGGACCCTCCTGGGAGTGCATTGCCCCCTGCAGCAAGTGCATCGCCCTCTGCGCCTGCTGGGGATGCATTACCTCCTGAGCTAGCAGCGCTGGTGAAAGCTCGTCTCGCTGCTGCCAAGGCAGGCGCACTTTGCACCTCTGCCTCCTCCTCTCCCGCCTCCCCTGCCCCCACTGCTTCCACTGCTGCCTCTGCTGCTGCGCTGCTCCCCCCTCCTGCTGCCTCTGTCAACAAAGCTATGCAGGCAGCAGCGGCTGTAGCGGCGGCTGCTGCTGCCGCTGCTCGCATTGGTGCCAGCATCCAAGCTGCTGGTGCTGGTGGTGTTCCTGCTGGTGGGGCTGCTGGTGGCGGTGCTACAGCTAGCTTTTCAACGGCTACATCTGGTGCTTCTGGTGTTCTGTCTGGAATGTCCGGTGTTACATCTGGCGTCTCTGGTGTTACGGCTACAGCTGGCGCGCTAAGTGTGAACCCTGCAGCGGCGGCTGCGGCGGCGGCAGCAGCTCAGATGGTTGCAGCAACAAGAGCGGCGGCGATGGGTGAGTGACGGGGGGAGATGTTTGATTTGTTGGGTGGGTGTTACGGCCACAGCCAGTGGTGGGATAAGTGTGAACCCTGCAGCGGCGGCTGCGGTGGCTGCAGCAGCGCAGATGGTTGCAGCAACAAGAGCAGCAGCGATGGGTGAGTGACGGGGGGAGGTGGGTTAGTTGTTGGGTGGTTGATGGTTGTTACCTCTGGCTTCTCTGGTGTTATGGCTTCAGCTGCTGGAGGGATAAGTGTGAGTGGCAGCAGCAGCGCAGATGGTTGCAGCAACGAGAGCGGCGGCGATGGGCGAGTGATTGGGGGGGGGGGCGGGGATGTGTGAAAGGGGGAGGTGGGTGGGTGAAGGGGGGCGGTGGCTGAGTGAAGGATTGAGGTGGGTGAGTGAAAAAGGGAGGTGGGTGAGTGAAAAAGGGAGGTGGGTGAGTGAAAGGGGGAGGTAGGTGGGTGAACGGGGGAGGTGGGTGAGTTGTTGGGCAGCAGCTCAGATGGTTAAAGCAACGAGAGCCTGGGTGAGTGATGGGAGGAGGTGGGTGCAACAAAAACGACAAACGACAAACGACCGCACAAACGACAAATGGATGCAAAGAGTTCACGCTCCCACCTGGTGCTGTCTATTGTCATCGAGACCACTGATCGCCACACACAGAACGTGTGGCAGGTGAGAGTTAGAGGGGGGGAATGTCAAACGGGAGGAGGGATGTATAATGTACATTGACAGATGAATGAGGAGAGCTCACGCTCCCACCGTGTGCCATCCATTGTCATCGAAACCATTGTTCGCCAGACACAGAACGTGTTTTCGTGGCAATGGACAGCACCAGGTGGGAGCGTGAACTCTGCGCGTTCATCTGTCAATATGCATCCTTTACCTTCCTCCCCTCTTTTACCTTCTTTCTCTCTCACCTTCCCCCGGCACACTTTCTAAGTCTAGCAATCAGTTGGTCTCGATGACGATCGACAGCACCAAGTGGGCGCGCGAGCTCTTTCCATTGATCATCATTCGAAAATATGAACCCTGCTGTGGCAGTAGCAGTAGCTCAGCTGCCGCTGCTGCTTCTCCTTTTCCTGTAACGGCTGCCACTATAGCTGCCGCAGCCCCATCATGCCCGTACTAGCAGCAACGTTTTCCTATTTTCAAATCCCGGAGTGTGCCAGTTTAAGAGTCAGAGTTGTCAGTCGCTCCCATGCTTCTGGAACGTGAGCCTGGGACTTGTACTCAATCGTTCAGAACCTTCTGTCTCCTCCCGCTGCCCACTGTATCTCCCTTCCCTCCCTCTGACCCCGCTGCCTTTCCTCAGTGAGCAAAGGGATTGGAGGAGTCGCAGGGAGCAACGTTGTTGGAGGGGCGGCTGCAGCGGCGCACGGAAAGACTGGGATGACAGCAGAAGAGAAGAGAAAGCTGCTGTGGGGCTCAAAGAAGGTCAGGCGCGGTTGAGAGTGGTTGAGAATGGTGATTTATTGGTTCGAGGGAGATTGAGAAGGGTTGGGATGAATTAAGTTGAGAGTGGTGGGACAGGTGAGTCAGAGGTCAGAGAGGGGACAGAACTGTTGAGAGTGGTCGAAAAGGTGAAAGTAAGCTGTCATGGAGTTGGTATGTATTTTCTCATGAGAAAAAGAACTTCTCAAATTTGTTCATAGGTTCTCGTGTATGCCAAGAAACGTCCTGCTTAGTATCGATCTTTGAAACGCTTATTTGCTGTATGTGTCTCTGTCTCGCGAACAGTCTATTTTGTTGCCTTCTAACACGCTTCCCTCCCCTCATGCTCCCAGACGGCACACTCCCTGTCACCCACCCACCCGTGCCCCATACTAGCAGGAATCCGCATCGGCTGCTGCTGCTACGGCTCCTGCTGCTGCTGTTGCCGCTCCGCCTGCTGCTGCTGATGCTGCTGCTGGGTCAACTGGCGAAGGCACAACTGGTGCAGCTGGTGCAGGTGCAACTGGTGCGGGTGTTACTGGTACCGGTGGGATTGGTGGCAGCAGCAGCAGCAAGGGGTGGGAGAACGTGCATTTCGGGGATCGGAGCCGCGAAGAGAAGTTTCAGAAGCTAATGGTGAGGTCTCAGAAAGTTATTGTGAAATTCCAGCAGGTCAGGTCATGTTGAAGTTTCAGATGTTTTTGTTCCGCCTGATCCGCTGTCGCAACATTCCACTCGCTCTTTGCAACCTTTGAGTTGCGGTTGTTTTTGTTTCGAAGCCAGCTCCTGCCATCACAGCAAAGCAGGCTTCTGTAGTTTACCCTCGTCTTACTCCCTTGCGCGTGCATTGTGCCTTGCCTGTGCTGTGCCTGTTCCTTGCCTGTTCTGTGCCTGTGCCCTGTGGTGCAGGGATTGAAGGGAGCGAAGCCAGCACCTGCCACAGCGGCAGATGGATCTGCAGTGGCAGGCGGGGGGCCGACAGCTCCAGTGGGGGTGGTGATGTCGGAGGAGAAGCAGAGGGAGCTGCAGGAGCAGCTGGAGCGGCAGTATGTGGCTGGTCTCAGGCGCAAGGATGGGAGGACAGTGGGGCTGGGGCTTTAAGGACAAGAGTAACAGCAGCAGCTGCAGCATCAACAGCACCAGCAGATGCACCAGTGGGGGTGGTGATGTCGGAGGAAAAGCAGAGGGAGCTGCAGGAGCAGCTTGAGCGACAATATGTGGCTGGGCTGAGGCGTAAGGATGGCAGGACAGTGGGGCTGGGGCTTTAAGGACAAGAGTAACAGCAGCAGCTGCAGCAGCAACAGTAACAGCAGATGAAGTGGAGGGGGTGGTGATGACAGAGAGGAAAAGCAGAGGGAGCTGCAGGAGCAGCTTGAGTGGCAGTATGTGGCTGGGCTGAGGCGCAAGGATGGGAGAACAGTGGGGCTGGGGCTTTAAGGACAAGAGTAACGGCAGCACCTGCAGCATCAACAGCATCAGCAGATGCAGCAGTGGGGGTGGTGATGTCGGAGGAGAAGCAGAGGGAGCTGCAGGAGCAGCTGGAGAGGCAGTATATGGCTGGTCTCAGGAGGAAAGATGGAAGGACAGTGGGCCTGGGGCTTTCAAGGAGGTGTTGAGATTAGGGGTTACCGAAGCAGCTGGAGCGGCAGTTTTTGTCGGGCTGAGGCATAAGGATGGGAGGATGGTGCAGGGAGATAGAACGGGTGAGGTCAGGATGTAACACATCTAGAGGTTGGGAGGCAGAGGCAAAGGCAGAGGAAACTGCAGGTTGGGAGTTACAGAAGCAGCTAAAGCGAGCAGTATGTGGCTGGATGGAATGTGTACGGTTGGGCCTGTGAACGGTGGAGTCAGGATATAGGACACCTAAGGGTGGGGTGTGGAAGTAGAGGCAGAGGCAGAGGAAACAGCAGGATTAGCTGGAGTGGTAGTATGTGGCCGGGCTGAGATGCAAAGACATGAGAACGGTGGGTTTGGGGGCTTTAAATGGTGAAGTTAGAATTTATGGCATGTGGGGAGGATCTGGGGCTGCTGTGTGGTATTATGGTTGTCATACGAATAAACATATACGGTATTGTGGTGTTATTCAACTACAAAAGAAATTCTCTGGCAGCTGTTCTTTCACTGAATTCTAGTCCAAACCAGATGCAACCAGTTTTTACAAAATTTCGATATGGTGGAAAGTTTCAGTGGTAAATACGCAGTTGGATCTAAGCCCTATAGCGAAAATTTGCCTCAGCATAATCCATCAGGTGGGCTTCGTCTGTGTTTCAATCACCTCGCCACTTCAATAATTGCGAGTCGCGTCTGCCGTGCTGCAGATGCGCCGTCGATGGGCATGTGAAGAACGCGATTCAACGGTGGATGCAAGCTCCCGCAGCACACGGCATTAAATTTCGGGTTTGATTCCAGCCCTCAATTAGCTAGTACTGCTCTGCACCCCTATGTACGCAACAATCAACTTTTCAAGCCCTCGTTGCACCCGTGGTGACTGTGAATGACCGCACCACAATTATCGAGGAAATGTCGGACCGCCCTGATTGCTAGTTTCCGATTCCTTTCGGCAGTGGCTTTGACATCGACTCCCTCCGCTCTCGCGCCCAATTCCCACGGGCAGTTTTTATTGTGATTTCCTTTTTCTCGTGACCAAAGGTATAAAAGGGCAAATCCGGAGTCTACCCGGTTTTCAGTATAGCTGCAAGTGGAAAAACTAAAACCCACTCGGATGACAAGCCATTAGGGAGGCATCAACCCTAAACACCTTGCCTCATGGTGTTTAGGGTTGATGCTCCCTACGTGGCATACCATCCATGAGGGTTTTATTTTTTTTTGCCCCAAGCTGCGTGTTTGCTGTGGAGTCGAAGAAATTGATGATGAATATCCCGTAAAACGAAAACAATAAGTATTAGTGGACTAAAAAGGGGAAACGGAGAAATCATATGCCCGAAGGTATTGAACGCGAGCGCGGAGCGACGTGCTGTCAAAACCACTGCCCATTGGAATTGGATACAAGAAAGCACGGCGCTCCGTCATTTCCCAGTGCTTCTTCAACTTCTTCCTGAGTAGCTTTGGCAGTCGTACGTGTTATTCTTACAGCACACGGCAGACTCTACCTCATGAGTGAGCCAAATTCTTGACCTCTTGCGTTCCGCACGAATTAGACGATCGAGGAGTGCGGCGGAGGTTCGTTGCGCAAGCCATTGTTCCATTTGGAAGAGAGCGAGCTGGGAGGAACTGCGAAACCTGAGTTCCGTCAAAGTCTCGTTTTTTTTCACTTGATTTTCTTAGCTCGGCAGGAAGTTCGGAATGCTTGCAACGACCAGAGACAAGGGCAAGCAACTGGGCGGCCTTGAAAACCTTTGAGGAAGAAAATAGGCACTGTAGCAGGAAAGCGAAGCGCTCCACGCTTTGGCTGTTCCGCTTTAGTCGACGGATCGAAGGGATCTACTCGACGAGTAGAGGGCGAATAGTCGGTCTTCTTAAACGCCAAGCGGGAGGAAATGACATTAGAGGAGACGCTAAGAAAATCCGTTGAGTCTGTTAGCGGTTCTACGGCTAGAGAAGCAGCGGCGAATGCGGGACGCGAAAGTTATGGAGGCTTGCAGAAGGATAGCGGTTCCACCGCCGTGATTTCCGCTGAAGCAGCAGCGGGAGTTGCGATGAGCGGTTCGAGCGTGAGAAACGCGGGGCTGTCGAGTAAAGACATGTGCCTGCTCCGACTACTAGCAGGTACTTTTGGGACGTCCATAACTTTCTCTGAATAGCCGCAAGAACCGTCGCGCGCACTGGATACGCTGCGGAACCTCAAAAATCATCTACCCTCAATTAATTTTGCGCATCCGTCGCTGCGCGTCTCTCAGTCTTTCTTACGCGTCGCAACAGAGAGTACTGAGACATATCAAATTTAGACATCTCAAAAACATCTTACGCGAATCTATCTGAACGCATCTGGCCCTTCCGTGCACGCTGTTGTGAGGCGGTTATCAAACGGTCATACGAACTGCGGGGCTTCCGCGAAAAGGCTGACGGAGTCTGACAACTCCCCGCGGCCCGACGATTGCAGGTTGCCGTGACACGGATCTCCCCGCGGCCCGAACGATACGACGGGTCTGACATTCTTCTCTTGCCTTGCCACTGCCAGTTGCCGTTGACCCATTCCCTTGCCTCCACTGTCAGACTTCCCCTTGCCGTCGCTGGCATTCGGTTCATCCACGCCCTCCCCTTCCGCACCTTCCTCACCACTCACTCTCCCCCCTTCTCCCTTCCCTAGGATAAGATTTTCGACCAATTCAATGGCAGCAACATTGCGCCGCGGCTCATGCCGGTTCCGCATTTCCTCATATACTTCCCTTCATCCGTTCCTCTTCCTCACCCCCTTCCCCTCCCTCCTTTCTCCTCTCCGCAATCCGTCGTTTCCCCTGACGTTTCCCCGTGCCTCCAGGCTCGATGTTTTTCGACCAGTTCAACGTCAGCTCAATCGCACCGCTCCTACCGTCCTTCGCCAAACTTTTCCACCTGCCCGAAACCTCCTCAACCCTTCTCCTCGCCGGCCGGTCCACAGCCGCCATTCTCTTCGCGCTGCCCGCCTGCCCGCTGCTCTCCTGTGTCACCGCGTTTTGCGGCCTAACGGTCACTTTACTGCTGTACGCCGCGACGCTCGTGCTGCTCGCGTACCCCGCGGGCCCGTTATGGCTCGCCGGCGCGCTCATGCTTCAGGGGATCTGCACGCAACTCGTGCGCGCCGGCGCGCTTTCATTCGCCACGCATGCGCACAGCCCTTCCGCTTTCCCTTCCCCTTCCGCTTCCGCTTCCGCCTCCGCTTCCGCTTCCGCCTTCCCACCCGCCTCCCCCGCTTCCCCGCCCTCCGCCGCCGCCTCCGCACAGAAAGGGCTTCCGCAGGTGCTGCCGGGGGAAGATGGCGCACTCTCCCCGCATCCCTCCGACCTCGTTCCCGCGCTGTCCCCCGCGCACGACACCGCAGGGGGAAATGCAGGAACCGCCACGTCAGCATCTTCCCCGCAGCAGGGAAACCCCGCCGCCACCGCCGCCGCCGCGGCAGCCGCCGCTGAAGCGCCAAAGACCGCGGCGGCCGCATTAGGCGGACGGGAGCTGCTATTCGGCGCGGTCGCGATGCTGTTCGCGTGGGCGGCGGTGGGTTCAGTCGCAGGCCCCGTTACAATGACATTCCTCTTCCAGTTCGGATCGCCGTCCCTCCCGTTCCTCTTCTCCCTCGGGATTGACGCCGCGCTGCTCTTCCTCCTGTTCTTCGTCCTCCCCTGCTGTTGCGGCGGTAGGCGCCGCAATAAAGTCGCTGACGTGGAAAGTGTAGCTTCTGCTGTAGCTGCTGCGAAGGCGAATGACGGTTCTGGAGAAGCTTATATCGAGTACAATGGTACTACAAGGGGGGGTAGTATTACGGAAGCGCCATTGGCAGATAGCTTGCCGACGTGGCAGCTACAGGTGTCGGAGCAGGAGCGGCCCGTCGTGTACCGAGGCGCGCCCATCTTCGCCATTCCTTCCAGAAGCTCCTCCCTCACGCGCTCCACGTCAGCACGGTCCTCGTCCAGGTCAGCGGCGGCGGACGTGCCGCTTTCCCCCATGGGATCCGCGGAAAGAGGGCATGTGGAAATCGGGGTTCTAGGCGTGGGAAGCCTAGAACGAGGCCTGGGAGGCCCGGGACAGCAGCAGCACATAGAGAAAAATGAGGAGCACGCGCAGCAGCAAATCCAGCAGCAGCAGCACATGAATCAGCAACAGCAGCAGCAGGTGACACCCCAGCAGCAGCTAATCACTCCATCAGCAAAAGTCCAAGCGTGGCAGGAGCAGCAGCTGCAGCACCACCAGAAGCGGAAGCACAAACACACCGCTCCCCACCCCTCCACAACCCACCACTCCACCCAGCAGCCCTCAGCCGTCGATCCCACCAAACCCAAGCACCACCGCCCGAATCAACGGCTGTCAGCGCTCCGTCTCTTCGCCACGATGCTCACAGACAGCACCTCCGCCACCCTGCTCGCCCTCACATTCCTCCAAACCCTCTCCAACGGACTTCTAGAGGTCACCGTCTCTTTCTTCCTAGATAACACCTGCGACCACTCCCCATCCGAGATTGGCATTTCCATGGGAATCAACGGTGCTTCTTACGCGCTCTTCTCTCTCCTCTTTGGCGATTACCTCATCCGGAAACTGGGTCCCCCCGCTACAATCACGCTCGGGGCCGCCACACTCGCCGCGACGCTCCCTCTCCTGGTCATCCCGGGGGTGTCATGCCAGCTGCACGTTTTATACCCGTTAATAGCTCTCACAGGAGTGGCGTACTCGTTAGTGGAGTTCCCCAGCCTGCCGTGTATAATCCAGGCGTTGGACAAGCGGGCGGCAGCTGGGGAAGGCTCGTCTGACGTGGCGCTTGCAGTGGGAATGTTCAATTTGGCGTATACTGCGGGGTATGCGTCAGGGCCGCTGCTGTCTGCGCTGCTGGGTGTATGGCTGAAGGCCTGGCAAAAAATGGCGGTTATATCGGGTGCGTTCGTGTTGCTGCTGCCGTTCCTCTGCTGCATGCGGAGATGAGGTGGTGGGGGGTGGGATGGTCTCACCCAATAAGGGGTTGCTGCAGCAGTGTTGCTGCTACTGTCTGTTGCAAAGCCGCTGCTGTTGGCGCTGCTGGGTGTGTGGCTCAAGGCATGGCAGACAATGGCTGTGGTGTCGGGTGCGTTCCTGCTGCTGCTGCCCTTCCTCTTCTGTACACGGAGATGAGGAGGTGGGGGAAGGAGAATTGGCATTCGAGAAATACGACAGCAGTGGTATTGGCGCCTTCCTTTTGCTGCTGCTGCTGCTGCTGCTGCTCTGCATCCTTCGCACGTCAGAAAAGGGGTGCACACTGTTGTGCATCGATCATGTGAATTCATTTGTGACTTTTGAGGTGTCTGTAGAAGGTAATGCTGTTGTGTTGTGTAGATATCACGTGAAGTGCGTCATGTTGTAGCAAGCACAGTGCTGTTCGTCATTTGTGAACGGTTGTTACGGGTGCAATGGAACGAGATAGCGAGGATTGCACTAGGTGTCAAACGAGTACAAAGTATGAGCGAAGGCATGAGCGAATACATGTGCGAAACATGCAACGGTTACACGGTGCGTGCGAGCTACCTAGTGCTAGGCTGGCATTGAGGTTCGGGCTAGTCCCGAAGCGTAGGCCGACTCGGCCAGGCCAGCGGTGCATGGTTTGGTAAAACAGTGCGCACTAAGTTGGCGAAGCCCCGTTTGCAGTAACGGGCGAACAACGGCTGCTGCTGTACGCGATGTTGACAGTCGCGGTAAGGAATGGTGAGAAAATTCCTCACACTACCCCCCACAGCATACCGCAAGAACTTTGACTTAATGTATTAATGTTCATACACCATTCTAAAACCTATCACATGTCATCCAAAAACTGGATGAAATCAGCAAGCTCCTCCTCGCTCACATACCTTGCTGCACTACCAGGAAGAAGTGCAGGTCCACCACATGTGCCAACACCACTGGCATCACCAGATTTCGAAGCAGCAGCAGCAGTTGCAGCAACAGCAGTGGAAACAAGATTGTCACCAGAATCATCATGAGCACGAGGCTCTACAGCACCAGCGGCACATGGGCGCCCAGATGCACAGACCTTGGTGTCAGCATCACCATCTGCCTTTGCGGCAAGCACAGCAGGTTCAGGTGCCACAGCAGAAGGTTCAGGTGCCACAGCAGAAGGTTCAGGTGCCACAGCAGAAGGTTCAGGTGCCACAGCAGCAGGTTCAGGTGCCACAGCAGAAGGTTCAGGTGCCACAGCAGAAGGTTCAGGTGCAACAGCAGCAGGTTCAGGTGCCACAGCAGCAGGTTCAGGTGCAACAGCAGCAGTTTCAGGTACCACAGCAGCAGTTTCAGGCGCCACAGCAGCAGTTTCAGGTGCCACAGCAGCCGGTTCAGGTGCCACAGCAGCCGGTTCAGGTGCCACAGCAGTCGGTTCAGGTGCCACAGCAGCCGGTTCAGGTGCAACAGCAGCCGGCTCAGAAGCTGCACCTGCAGGTTCAGAATTCTCAGTTGATGGTTCCAATGGCACCTTTGCAGGTACCGATGCAGTAGCTGCAGGTTCAGGTGCCACAGGTGGCACAGCAGCAGGTTCAGGTGGAACGTCTCCAGGAGCTGCAGCTGCTGGTGTCAACGCCACCGTTGCAGGTTCAGATGCAGCAGGTGCAGGTTCAGGTGCCACAGGTGACACAGCAGCAAGATCAGGAGGAACATCTGCAGGCTCAGATGCTGTAGCTGCAGGTGCATGCGCCACAGCAGCAAGATCATCACTTGCAGGTGACATAGCGCAGCAGGAGCATCAGCTCTGGTCACGTCCGCTACCAATACCTTCTCCTGGTATGTAGCCTTCTCTCCCTTCTCCTCTACTGTACCCTCCTCTTCCTTGTTCTTTTCTGCAACCTCCCCTCCCTTCTGTTCTGTGCCCTCCTCTTCCTTCTCCTCTTCTGTACCCTCTTCTTCCTTGTCCTTTTCTGCAACCTGATTTCCCTTCTTCTCCGTACCCTCCTCTTCCTTCTCCACTTCTGTACCCACCTCTCTCTTCTTCTCTTGTATATCCTCTTCTCCCTTCTGCTGTTCTGTACCGTCCCCTTCCTGCTCTTCTATACCCTTTTCCTTTCCACTATGCACCCCTTCAGCCCCTCATCCCTTGCCTCGTATTTTCTTCCAGACCCTTCACCATCAGCACCAGCAGAACCACCAGTATCAGCACCAGCCCCAGCAGCAGAAGCAGCAGCAGCATCAGTATTAGCACCAGCACCAGCACCATCAGCATCAGCACCAGCACCAGCACCAGCACCAGCACCAGCATCACCACTACCACCAGCACCAGCATCCTCCTCCTCCTCGTCCTCGTCCTCTAGAATCACCCGTCGTCTCTTCGCCTTGTGCTTCACGCCCGCACCATCACCGCCAGGGATACCCTTTCTAGCCTCTGCTGTGGTGCTCACGCCCACACCGCCAAGGGCAGCCGCAGGATTGCTTTTGAGTCGACTCAACAGCCTCTTCGCCTTGTGCTTCACGCCTGCGCCCACACCACCAGTGGCAGCCTTACGGGCCTCGGCACTGGTGCCCGCGTCTATGTCATCCTCCATAAGAGCATCCTCACTATCCTCGGAAGGGACATCAGGGACTGCAGCAGCAGGGCTATGGGGCTGTGCGGCAGCTGGGCTGTGGGGCTGTGCGGCAGCTGGAGTGGCGGTTGAAGTGACGGCTGGAGTGGCGGCTGGAGTGGCAGATGGGTTGATAGTTGGCGGTGGGTTCCCTGAGATAGTCTCACAGTCAGCACCTTCCACGTCACCATCTTCCACGTCACCGTCACCTTCCACGTCACCACCAGTCCTCCCATCCTTTTGGCCCCTTGAACCAGCATCCGAATCTTGGACTTCATCAGGTTTTCCTTCGAGGTCGCTGTGACGGTTGGGACTCATTCGATCACTCTTGCTGCTTGCATGTGGGCTGGTGCACTCTTGAGTGGCCTCAACACGAGGCGTGCCATGGCTCGCCGTGCCACCTACACCATGCTCCCCGGCACCTTTGCCACCGCCTGCACCACCACCATTGCCAGCAGCACCAGCGCCAGCAGCACCGTTGACACCAGCATTAGAACCACCACCAACCCCGCCACCCCCAGAGCCCCAGTCATCATCGTCATCATCCCAGCCGCCTCTTAGCCCAGGAAAATCGTCGTCTGGCTCCTCCTCCTCTGCTGCACCTGCAGTGCCATTAGCAGCAGCAGCACCAGTGGCAGCACCAGTAGCACCATTGGCAGCACCAGTAGCACCATTGGCAGCAGCGGCACCAGTGCCAGCAGCAGCAGCACCAGTGGCACCAGCAGCACCATTGGCAGCAGTAGCACCATCACCACCAACCCCGCCATTCCCAAAGCCCCAGTCATCATCGTCATCATCCCAGCCGCCGCCAAGCCCAGCGAATTCGTCATCACGCTGCTCCTCCCCCACTGCACCCGCAGCGCCCCCATCCACACCACCGCCTTCCCCATCACCAGTGCCCTCATCAGCTGTGCCTTTGAAGCGGTCGCTGCCGATACCTCTCCCATGCTCGAAGTCGTCCACCAAGTCGCGAATTCCAGCCTGCACATGTGGGTGATAAAAATGGCTCTGTAGGTTTAGGTCTAAACAAAGGACTCCTCAATGCCTCTCCCGTGCTCAAAGCCATCAACCAAGTCGCGAATGCCGGCCTGCACGTAGGAGGTGGTAAAGATGGCACAATGGCTTTAGGGGATATTATTTGAGTCGCCTCACGTATCGTTTCAATGCTCCCGTGCTACAAGTAGTGGAACAGATGGCAAACGGCGGCCTGGATATGTGGTGGAACAGATGGCAAACGGCGGCCTGGATATGTGGTGGAACAGATGGCAAACGGCGGCCTGGATATGTGGTGGAACAGATGGCAAACGGCGGCCTGGATATGTGGTGGAACAGATGGCAAACGGCGGCCTGGATATGTGGTGGAACAGATGGCAAACGGCGGCCTGGATATGTGGTGGAACAGATGGCAAACGGCGGCCTGGATATGTGGTGGAACAGATGGCAAACGGCGGCCTGGATATGTGGTGGAACAGATGGCAAACGGCGGCCTGGATATGTGTGGAACAGATGGCAAACGGCGGCCTGGATATGTGGTGGAACAGATGGCAAACGGCGGCCTGGATATGTGGTGGAACAGATGGCAAACGGCGGCCTGGATATGTGGTGGAACAGATGGCAAACGGCGGCCTGGATATGTGGTGGAACAGATGGCAAACGGCGGCCTGGATATGTGGTGGACATGACACGGTACGATTCCGCTCTCACCCTGACGCTGCGCGCGTTGCCGAGTTTCTCCACCTCTCCACCTTGAGGAGAATCTCGAGTTTCTCCACCTTCTCAATAAGTGCATGCGAATACAAGCCTCCAAGAGGGATCCTTCAGCACTCACCCTGACGCTGCGCGAGTTACCTGGGATAGTCGATATGGGATAGGAGAGCTGGCATGAACTGCACTCACCCTGACGCTGCGCGCGTTGCCGAGTTTCTCCACCTTCTCAATGAATTCTGAGAAGGGTAATGTGCAGGCCTCAACAAGGGACCGTTTTGCACTCACCCTGACGCTGCGTGCACTCACCCTGACGCTGCGTGCACTCACCTGATGCTGCGTGCACTCACCCTGACGCTGCGTGCACTCACCTGATGCTGCGTGCACTCACCTGATGCTGCGTGCACTCACCCTGACGCTGCGTGCACTCACCTGATGCTGCGTGCACTCACCTGATGCTGCGTGCACTCACCCTGACGCTGCGTGCACTCACCCTGACGCTGCGTGCACTCACCCTGATGCTGCGTGCACTCACCTGATGCTGCGTGCACTCACCCTGACGCTGCGTGCACTCACCCTGACGCTGCGTGCACTCACCTGACGCTGCGTGCACTCACCCTGATGCTGCGTGCACTTACCTGATGCTGCGTGCACTCACCTGATGCTGCGTGCACTCACCTGATGCTGCGTGCACTCACCCTGATG